TTCATTATCTAGGTTAGAAAATCATAAGAAATGCACTAAACTTTAACATAAGGAAACCCTATGAATTGAAATATAATAATTCTCTACCCATAGCACTGGAAATATATAGCAGATAGCATGTTTGTAAATATGAACACATATGAGCGCCAAAATATTCGCAAAATAATTTATTACTAGACAATAGGGAAAAATATATGTATGTTACGCAGTTTTAAAGCTTCTTTTTTGGACTTAAAAACGAATTGATAAATATATATGTAAATAAATAACTTACTAGGGCCCAGACTGGAGATGTAATTAGTATCCATGAATCCAGATATCCAGGAAATCCAACATAGCATTGATTTTTATAAGAAAATAAAATTAAAAATTTTGAAAAGTAACTTTCATAAGTTGACGATCAAAGAGAGTTATTTTATTTTACAATTATATTATTATTCATAATTATATATATAATATACTTCGTATTTCTTATGGTTAGACGTTATATATATAGCAAATTGACTTATACGTTGTAGTAAATTGGGTTTAAAATTCAATTATTTAACATCGAAGGATTTTATAGTAAAATTCTTAGCTCAACTGATAAGAGATTAACGAATTTGCATTTTGTGTAATGCGAAATGCAAAAAACATTCGTGAGTATATGAGGAGTTAAATTTCGATATGCTTTTGTGTGATAGGCTATGACAGATTAGTAAGTTACATCTTTTAAAGAATGTTTTCAGATATTCAATAAATTGTACGTACGTAATAGAATCAACGGTCTCAGGGTCTAATAAACCGTCTAGGCCGCGCGAGATCCTCATGGCTTCACGACGTGCAGGAGAAGCGCCTGTTTTTTTGTGCATTATATCAAAGTAATAAGCCAAAAGAACTGGGCTTATTTGGGTAACCTCTTTCTATGTAAAGAATAATGTCAATTACTACATAGCCTTCGCCAAAATCCGCGAAAACTTTACCTTACGTTTACATTCAGATGAAGTTTTCGGTGGTGGCTCAGGTTCTTCTTCAACCTTTCGCTTTGCCAAAATTTCTTCTTCTTCTCCATTTATCTAGAAGATGTTTACACGTATGGATGTCCTTTTTTTCACTTTAATAAAGAATTGAAAACCTACCTTTTCACCCGGCAGTGTCGAATAAAATTCTTCAATTTGGCAAGGTTCCTTATTTTCGGGCAAAATGCCCATTTTCTCTAAACTATCCCAACCAGCTGGTCTAGAAAGCATAACAAAGATCCGTTTGATATTAAGATCTATTAGAAAACATCGAAAAATTACATTAATAGTGCATCTCTTTCTACAACTTGAACAGGTAAACAAAATCGAGCGCCAGTGATTCGGTGTATTAAGAGCTCATGTAGAAAAGCGCAATTTTTTTCATTTTTAATATTTGTATACAAAAGAGAGGCGCCGTGTTGCAAGCAAAAACGTCTTATCCACTGCTCTAAAAATGTAAAATGTTCCTCCTGAAAACCATAATCTTTTCGTAACTCGGCCATGCGATCAGTCTAAAGAAAAGAAAAAAAATTACAAATAATAAAGTTTCCTTAATTTAGTACAACCACTTATTTGCCTGAGTGACTACAACGGCAATGTCCAAACCAATGTTTATTTTTAAAGCTTCTTCTGTTAGCGAGTCAGTTTCATCTGTAGAACTAATTTTCTGTTTGCAGTTTTCCGGGGTATTGATATCATTTTCTTTGCAATAATTTTTCCATTTTTGCAGTAAGCGCTGACGTGCTTCCTGTTTCTCTTTAGTATCCATACGTAAGTTTTCTACATGACGCAACAACATATCTGAACAATCAGTTAATTGATCCATCCAAACCCATGGTTGCGCCATTGACACGGTCAGTACAATTGATATTTGAGTGTAGCTAGTTGTGTTTATAATCATATGTAGGAGGTTTTCGTTCCCTGGTATACTATCCAAAATCCAAACATTTAAACGCGTTATATCTACAACATTTAATATAGAAAAATATTCAGACAAATAAGTTTATAGAAGATAACACAAGAAGCATTTCCTACCCTTTTCAGATTCATCTTTAATATCAAGGTAAGCATATTTTAGTCCTTGGCCCAATATGGGATTTTCCCCGCCTTGCAGTTTTTTTATAAGTGTTCTTTTCCCGGTGGCCCTGTCGCCAAAAACCAAAACTGTCTTTCTTGACACACGTATTTTAGGTTCTTGCTCTTGAGCTCTTGGAAAACATATTTATTAACTTATTGAAATACCTCCAAAAAATAATTAATGATGGTGAGAATTAGTGAAATGATTTGCCTTATAAATCTGACCATAAGAAAGTACAAATTCGACCTGTTTTGGCGCAATTTAGACGTATTCTTGATTTTTTGTCTTTGCATCTCATATTTGTATTACGTTCTTTAGACGATTTACTACTAAAAGCAACATTTCCAGAACCCATTTTGAAATCGCTCAGATAATAATAATAATAACAGAACTAAAATTGTACATGATCAGCGTGGATTATTCTGACTGGAACGCGAATTATTACTCTATACGAATAAAACCTTTTCTCCTAACGATTTGACTTGCCTCTGAGCTTCGCCACTTCTTCCTTATATAGGCCATGAATTACGTGTGTATCAGTGACGATTACCCAATAAACATTATTCGAAATTTATTTTACAAATTTCGCACTTTATAGAAGCAGGTATGCTCAACGAAGTGGAGCAACTGTGAGAAGTGACAGCATTTATCTATGTTTTCTTTTATAAGAGCAACTTGTTTATGCTGACATATTAAAATAGAAAACCACGCGATCTTTCGCTAGAAGTTTCTATTAACTGTCGTAAGGGAAGGAAAAAGCACATGTGACGCAAAAGAAAACCGCACTAAATAAACATATGAAATCATTCGCAACCAAACAAAAAATAAATAAATAAATAAGTAAATAAGATTATATTCGGCCGTGGCCGAATTTTTTACAAATACCTGCCTTATCCTTAAAAATTGAAAGGAGAAGAAAAAATATTCACACTCTATAATATTGAATGAGCGTGGCTTATTAGCTCTATTTTCAGAATAAAAGTGGAAATTTATATGGTACATGTGTTGTACATTATCAGTAAAAACTAAGAAAAAACACGGAAACAAAAGGGGAAAGTTTTCAAATTCTCTTGCAAGCTTATAGGTGATATCTGCACTTTTGCCAACAGAAGAATGTTTACCACCTATACTATACCGGGGTAAAAACGAACAGATAGACATGCTTAGGAACGAATTTCGAATTTAAAAATGCTTGGTTTAAAATTTTTCACCTTCTTGTATATGTACTACAACATCATCCATGAGTAACGACCAAAAAAACAAATTTTTATCCTTTTCGAAAAGCAGAGGTGTTCTCAGTTTCTATGATACTGCAAGGTGTCTTTCGACAGATTTATCCCATTTTCAATACCAACCTGCGCACATAAAATTGAAGTTGATAGCTTCATTTTTGCGGTCAGAAGTATGTTTACAACGCACATACTTAAATCGATTCAAAGTTTGATGCTGATCAATAATATATATACATTGTAACGTCTGTGAAGCTTTCTTCTGGGCGTTGGAAACGTTTTGAAAAAATGAATATACCTTCGTCATTTTTCCGCGATAGGTTAAAAAACATATAAAAACCTTTGAAAATTTCCAAGTAGCAATTTATGGGAGAGTGTTTGGGATTGATCTAAGTAACTGTAACCAACCATCTAATCAAGTAGCTGAAACAACTACTTACAAAAAGGCATTAGCCGATGCGTAGAATAATGAATCTTGAAGACTTTCCATTCTATTTGTTAGCCAAGGGATTTTACGAGATAAGAATTAATATTACGAGAATTTTTCAATTATCATAGCAAAATGAGAAGAGATATTTAAATATCTTACCGTACGGTTAAATAAAAAAAAAAAACAAAAACATGTTACACTATGTTTCTATCGTAATGGCAATTTTATGTTACTATCATGAATAATATAAATGTTTCTGTATTCTGTTCCGTTACTCATGAATAGAAAAGCTTGTGTCTTATAGCATCTGATTTAATCCTGTTTAATTTTATAATCTCTTTCTTCGATTTCAATTACCGACAATAATTTATACCTCGTATCCTAAGTTTGCTTTTCAATTTTAATAACTTTGAGAATTAAGACAATAAACCGATGGGTGAACGGACAAATCGAATAATTAGGAGATTTTTGAAGTCTCTAATTTTGAGGTATTTTAAGCAACTTGACGCAATTTGTATTCTTTCATTGCCTAGAGACACCTTATTATTTCAATTTAGGAAACTTCTTGCCTTTCTTAAAATACAAAATACCAAGATGCGGATCGTACCGATCGATGTATAATAAAATCAGTTTTTCAAAGGTTATATCAATGTTTTAGTTATTATGGCCGCACCGCATCGCACTTATACACAAAACAATATGCAACAATTATAACAAGAAATAAACGAACACCACTATACGAAATTATAATAATGTCTCTAAAACACGCTATTGGGATGGTTTAAAGAATAAAAGAAAAAAAATATATATATAAAAAGTATGTGTTCTCTTAAATACATAATAAAGAAGACTAAAGAACTTGTAATCTCATCGTAATCTAAGCGGTTTAGAATCCCTAAGTTATATTAAAAATAAAAAAACAATTTTTACTTACTTTTCCGCTGGATTCATTTTTTTTAATCTTTATATAAATGCAGAATTCGTTTTATTATACGTAATATTTTTTTTTCTTCTTTAATTTCAATATTTTAATCGATATTAGCAAGTACTGTTTTCTAAACGTTAAAAAGTAGCGTTACCCGCGTTATTTAGGACGCAATAATACGAAGTGACGAGTTTATCTTCCGTTGACGTATACACACAAATTAAGAAACCATATGCAGGTTTTTGAATGCGACTATGTATCTTTAATAAATATCGTTCCATTTCTTTGTTTCACTGGTATGTTGAAAGTTAGCCGATAGCCTGTGTTGCTAGTGCTCAATGTCTCTTTTTTTAGTCTAAGAATTCAATTCATTAGTCTAAAATTAAAATAATAATAATAATAATAGAATTGAATGAAATAAAACAAAATGATTGTTTTCGAATATTAGGAAAATATTGCAAAATGTAACAAAATTAGAATTATTGGGTATGTTGGAAATGCAATTTACAATTATTTCCTGCTATGTTTATTGCTAATGTTAAATATATTTTTTTGATAAGACATACTTTCGCATTATTTATTTCAAGTTTTGTCCGTGGTTAAAGACTGTCTTCGAATATTAGGAAAATTTTGCATTAAAATGTAACAAAATTAGAATATGTTGGAAATGGAATTTACGATTATTTATTGTTGATGTTAAATATGTTTTTTTGACAAGATATACTTTCGTTTTATTTAGAGAACTAATACAAGATTTGATAATACGTGGATGACATTATCATTCCTTTACCAACCGATTAATAGAATATTGAAAAACTAGAAAAAGTTTTAGAAGTGGCACGAAAACATAATTTTCAAATCGAGTGGAAAAATGCCAATTCTTAATGAAAGAAACATTCTTTTTCTGTTAAGGATATCCCCGCTATCTTATAGTAGAATTGTAATAGCTATGATTGAAACATTTCGCGACCATGTCGAAGAATGACGGCAATATGGCATAGTATATTGCCATTAAGTAAATATATTTCACAAACTAATCGATCGAGATAATTTTATTAAAAGATTCAAGTCAGATTTTATACATTAAAATTTTTAAACTTTATAACCAAGTAATCTATATTGAATATAAGCGTCGCTCGTACAACATGGTTGTAAAACAGGATATAACGCACGTTACAAATTTTGCGATTATTAGAACGATGTTTTCAGATAACATGATTTCAATATATTAAGCACTTCAACAAGGAGAATTTAGACCCCTTTCGGACACAAGCCAATTGTAATATTGGGGATACATGTAGGTGTTGAAGGTGTAAGCTCACTGCATAGTTTAATATTTTGTTTCCAAAAGTTTTTATTCCTATTTCTAATGACATTTATGTTATTAGGTTATATGTGCAAATTTGCTTTTAGAACCGATTAACCATTTGTATAAGGTCATCGTTTTTTCTTTTTTTCTCTTGATTGATTGGTAGGCATTAGGTTAAAAACGTAACATCCAACCAGGCAGTGTTTAAAGGTTTTTCGTATTGCCCTTGAAAATTTAGGCTGTAGCGTTGTGTTTGTTGTCATTATTTTTATTAAGAATTTTTTAATGTTGAGTTTTATCATACAAAACTTGTTAGCGTGTTCAATTTATGATTGGCAATTCATAGTCTTTATACACATTAAGTTTTATTTCTTGCAAAATAAGCAAATGTCTTTTTTATACAACACATAAACTCGAAAAATTATTGGTAATTGTTAGTGATGCATTTATTGCCAGCCGTGGTGGTCGCAACAATGTTTTTCTCATTGGTAACACCCCTATTGCAGAACGTTTCTTTAACAATTGTTTTGTTTCTGGACATTTATTTTAACCCGCTTGAAGTGATACTCCTAGATTGCTTATGTTGCTGATGGTATATATTTTCTTTTTGGAAACGAATGGGTATGGCACATCTTCTTATTAGTGTTGCCATATTGAGAACTTCAAACTTGTCAAATGTTTTTTTTTGGTTTTGTTCTCTGTTAAAAAATAAATAATGAAAAAAAAAATCGAAGTAAATTTTAAGAAGAGTTAATTTGTTTTTTTCGGATCAAGAACAAGAATTCTTATTTGCTGATTGACCATTATTTTAAATATCACGCTGAACTATGTTAAAAAACATTGTGGAAGTGTGCAAAAATAACACCTTAAGAACTCATCGATAATTGAAATTTAAAATTCAATACGATATCATTTCAAAAGGGAAAGCAAAAACAAAACAAATAACTGTTTGTACACACAACGCAGCCGACACAAAAAGTGCACTGTATCGAAATAAAAAAGACAACAACTGAAACAACTGAAAAAGGGAAATATCGCATTTCGGGAATAGGGACAATGCTACTTCCTATTGCGAAGCTCAGCTTACTCAAAAAACATTACTAAACGCTCCGACTCCATTCCCTTTCATAACTTGACTGCTGCGATTTTGCATCCTTACGGAATACAAGTCCGTCCGCCTGAAATAGCTACCCACAGCGAACCACCTGGGAGTCCGAGCTGTCCGTAAACGTCTGTCCGGGGTAATAAAGCATGAGCCACCTCCTCCAGCATAGGTTAAGAACCCAAGTGTATAAAAGCTTAGATTCAAAATCTCAAAATGTTTAATAGCAGAGTCAAGAACTCAAATGAAAAAAACTTAGATTCAAGAAATCAATATGTATACAAGCATAAGCCAAGAACTCGAATGTAAAAAAAAAAGCTTAGATTCAAGAAATCAATATGTATACAAGCATAAGCCAAGAACCCAAATGTATAAAAGCTTAGATCGAAAATCTCAAAATGTTTAATAGCAGAGTCAAGAACTCAAATGTAAAGCTTAGATTCAAGAAATCAATATGTATACAAGCATAAGCCAAGAAGTCGAATGTAAAAAAAAAAGCTTAGATTCAAGAAATCAATATTTGTACAAGCATAAGTTTGGCAACTCTGCGTCGTGTTGTGGTCGCGTTTTTATTCAATGCAAGAAATATTTTAATTTTTTAGTGTATTTCTTGCTTTTATTTTTATTTTTTGCTTTAATCGTGTTCAATTTTATAATATTATAAACATTTATGTGAAAAATCATTTTGGTTTTGTGTAAGCAACAATTGAGCTCTTTGTAAAAAGTCTCTTTTTTTTTGCCTGTTAATCTTTTGTTTACAGTTCTTTAGCTTTCGCTCTTTATTTACAGTGGGCAAAGTAGTGAGATATTTGCTTTAATTCGCTGCCAGGGAATTTTTTAGTTTTTCTTTTTTCCCTTCATAAGCTACTTTTGTTGTTCCAATTGACATGGATTGCTTATTTACTCCATGTCGTGCGAAAACCGGCCCTGAATCTGAACGATTCATTTCTTGTTGGTTGTGTGATCGCTTTGGACATGCAAAGTGTGCTGGTATTACTGGCCGTGCTGCTGATGCATTTCTTGACCCTTCTAAAGGTTTACGATGGTCATGTCCTGACTTTAGAAAGCGGGAAATTTATTTCTACAAACTCTTCACGGAGACGAGAAATTGTTTCTCAGATTTGAGCAAAAATCTCGGCTCTTTGTAGGAGAAGTTTGAATTAATCAAGACTAGGTTTGATGAATGTCGGTATATTGCGCAGTCATCTTCCTCTCCAGCTAACAAAGTCTCAACGCGTAGCGTAGCGTGTGGTTCGTCACCTCCTAAGTCCGTTTCGTCGGTGCAAGTTAGCGATTCCCTAAAGGCTACAAATAATGTCAGCGTTTCTGCTACGGCTGAGTCGGTTGGTAACATAAATGTTACAAATAGGCCGAAAAATCCTTCTGGCTTGAGCTATGCTGAAGTGGCAAGGGTATCTCCTCCCATAGATGTCACTCAATCTTCTCAGGCGTCATCGCCCAAAACTAATAAGGGTAATAGTAAATCGTCCTCTCCTCCTCGCTGTTCGAGTGTAAATGCTGTTCGCCAAACTGAGCTGGTCGCACAAGCTGCTCGTGCAAGTCTGATTACCCCCTCTATATTTTCCCCAACTCATAACTCCCCATCCGTTAACCCTGCTGCTTCCAGTACTGATGACATATGCTTGAAGGCAGTTCCTCCCAGAAAGGCAATATTTGTGTCAAGATTGGCACCAGATACATCTGTTGAAAACATAAGGGGTTATCTGGCAGCGAAAGCCCCTTCTGTCAATTTAAAGCGAGTTAGTATTTTCAAACTGGGTCCTTCTCAATCTAGAGCTATCTCATCTTTTAAAATTCTAGTTCCGACCGAAAATATGGATTTGATTTTAAATAAACCATTGTGGCCGGTTGGATCCTTAATGAAGGAATTTATCCCTCGGGACCGACCCCGTATTGCGAATGCAGTAGCTCTTTCCCCTTCAAAAAACTAAATATTTCTTCAGCCTCATTTTCTCTCATTTATCAAAATGTTAGGGGCCTAAATTCAAAAATTCGTTCTACCTTCCTAAATTCAGTGAGCATGGAGTTTTCCTGTTTGGTCTTCACTGAAACCTGGTTAAAGCCGGATCTACATTCGTCGGAACTTTTCCATAATTCGTTTTAAGTTTTCAGAAACGAGCGTTTGTATCGCAATGGTGGTGATGTTTTAATTGCCATTTCTTCGGCACTCCCCACCTATTCGTTTGAATTTCCAGCTACTCCCGACGTTGAATTTATCGCCATTCGAGTGAAATTTCCTAATAAACACTTATATGTGTCCTGCTCCTATATTCTCCCAAATTCGGATATCTCTGTATATAAGAAACAGGCCGCCCTCATTTGTGAAGTGGCCAAGCAATCTGAACCTACCGATATTGTCCTTGCGTTGGGTGACTTCAATTTGCCTCAAGTCAATTGGTTTTACAGTGATAGTTCTGGCTGTTTGATTCCTACCTCAACATCTGATAAAGCCGTTGTGTTCTTCAATGCATTATTTGATAATAATTTAGTTCAATACAATGGTACCCCTAATTGCAATGGTAGATTTCTTGATCTCTGCTTTGCAAATTTTCCTGAGGTTTGCGTTAATCGTTGTCTTCCGTTTAGTTTACCTGAGGATCCATATCATCCAGCATTGGGTGTTTCCTTTCATTACAATTATGTTGGTTCGTTGAACTTTTATAACGTTCAAAATTCAAATTCTTCGTATAAACTTTATGATATCCATAAAATCAATGTTTCCATACTAAAATCACATCTTTCTCATATTGTGCTCGATTTCTCAGAGGAAAGCTTACTGTCGTCGTTCTACAATATA